GAGTTCACCTCCTGTGGACCCAAGCAAGACAGAATCTCTGGGCAGGACTCAGCTGCATGGGAGAGGTGGATAGAACCCCCAGGAAGACCTGGAAGGCGATGGTCTATTGGATCAATAGTGTGGATCATGTCAGGAGAGTGTCTTTCAGGAAGAAAGCAAGGGGAGGACTGCTTGATGTGTTCAGGCAGATGGAGAGTTTGCCAGTTCCACTGAGAGTGCACTCAAGGAAGCAGCGTGTATGCTGGGTAGGAACACAGGCTGTGGAGCCAGACAGCAGACGGGAGAGCTCTGTCACTTTACACAAGTTGCTCTGCCTCTCTGAGTGCTATTCAGTGTAAATCTTACTACCCATCTCAAAGGGTTGTTGTGAGGTTTGAATAAATTGATATCCGGTGCTTCAGTCTGTGCCTGACATACAATGAGCCCCAAATAAGTGTCTGCGGCTAGATGGTGAGGAGGAGGATAAAGATGAGAGATGACGACACATGGGCCATAGAGTGGCATCAGTGAACTTCAAGAACAATAAAAACACAAGCACAGTTCATTACATGGCTCTGTGTCATCAAAATGCAAACACTGAATACTGTGACACCAAATTTTATAATGAAACTCTACTGGAAGCGGGCAAAGCAGGAAGTGGCTTGGGAGGATTGAAATTCCTACCTCGCACTTGAGGACATCAGCAGCCATCCAAAACCAAACATCGAAAACCAGCAGTAGAGGCATGTTGTTTAGAAATGGGCGGTAAAGGCCAGGTCAAAGACATAGAGGTGCCTGCTGCAGGGAGGGGTGGGCGGGATTCCTTTCCTTCCTTACAAGCCTCACAAAAGTGACTTTTTCTGTGTAAAAATATAACTGGTTAAAAGAAGGAATTTTATATTAAAAAGACATTCATGAGGAAATGCTGAGAGGATAGAGGAAGTCACCTAAAGTGACCCACCTTGGCCGAGCCGTGGTGATAACTGGTGAGTAGCTGGTAATGAACAGCCTCTGTGGAAATCCGTGAATCCAGAATGACATTTGAAATGGGGAAGGTGATAGAAACTGTGCTGAAAAGTAGCTGTAATATAGAACTGGTGAAAATTTTGCTGCCTAGGTGGCCTCGTACTCTGAAAAGTTGATTTCTGTTTATTAAACACAGGCATCATCATCTCCATCACCATTAGCAGATAGGGAATTATGAGTGAGCCCCTGTAGTTCTAGAAAAAGAATGAATGGGGCAAGACTAGGAAAGGGTGGCCAGCAGACTTGGAGGAAGAAGACCCAGAGAGCTCGGAGTACTGGCAAGAGTGGGCTGTGGCTGGGCTGAGGGAACACCTGGTCCCAGGGAGACATGATCTCCAGTGACCCTTATAATTACACTGAAGGTTGCAAAGTGGCAAGAAATATGTGAGCTTTGAAAGTTCTGTTTATGAAGAAACAGACCTTGACAAAAGTTCCCCAAATGTCCAGCCCAGGAAATAAATATATGCTCCCCTGTGAAGTATTTTGTTCTGTTGTCCTGACCAAGAGTCAGTGGGTCAGTCACCAAGAAATTCCACTTTCTACTGGCCTGAGATCAGCTCCTCTTTTAGGTCTTGCCAGATTCTTGTAACCCCAGGAAGGTCAAACTAAGTATAGAAATAATGAAAAAATCAGATCACTAGAACCAACCTGCATAATGGTTTGAGTGTAGGTTTTGTAGTCACTGTGAGCATTTGTTTGATCTGTATGTCTTTAAGATATTTTAAAGCTGAAACTGGATGCGGTGTCACATGCCTGTAATCCCAGTGACTTGGGAGGCTGACTTGGGAGGCTGAGGCAGGGGGATTGAAAGTGGGAGGCAATCCTGGGCAACTTTGTGAGATCCTTGCTCAAGTTGGCTGGGGATGTAGCTCAGTGGTAGATCCCCTGGGTTCCAACCCTAGTACCACCTGAATGAATAAATAAGTTATACACACATACTAAATTTAAAGTTTTTAATCAATACTTATATGTATAAGAGCATTTTATTTTTAAAAGTATGTTTTACTATTTAATAGTATCTGAATATTTAGAAATATTTCTTACATAGATTTATAGGTATAAGCATTTAGCATTAAACCAAGTACAAATAGTTCTTAAGTCTTCTTTTTTGAAAAAATTAGTTCTTCAAATATTAAAGATCCAGGCAACTGGGAGTAAGGCATTGGGCTGCTTTTTGCTATGAAAAGTCATTGGAGGCTTTTAAGCAGGCAAATGAAATAATTTTTTTTTTTAAGATTGTGAGGGGTGTCAAGAAAGGGGGATGTGCAGTCTTGGGTCCCCTTCCACCTGTAAGCATAGTCCCTCATCATTCATTTGACAGACACATGACCATGGGCTTTTAATGTGCAGGCACTGCCCTGGGCAGTGTGAGATAATCAAAGATAATGATGAAGGGTCTCTAAGCACCATAAATGAAACCGACAGGGTGCAGCAACCACTAGAAAGTGTGAAGTCCTAGGGAGATGTTACTTCTGGACTGGAGAACCAGAATCAGTTATAAAGTTAAGGAGGAGACGGGAGATTGACATTCCAGGAATGAACTGAGACCCAGCAACAAGGAAGCGAAGAATTTTCCAGGCGTTTCCCGGAGCCATTAATGTGGTTTTCATCATAATCATCTGTTGCCAATTCATTTAGACTAGTGTTGCTCAGCTCTGATAAAGTGGGTCAGCACCAATAAAGCTAATTTATATTGATAAATCTATAAGGCAGAATCTGACACCCCGGGAGAGTTTTAATTTGCTGTCACTGCAGTTACCACTTTTGCATTAATATTAATTTTTGTGTTATAGAAAATGCTGCATATTGGGTTTCTGGGAAAGCTTCCCTTATTTTTATCTGTGTGGCACTGTCTTATGACCACGAAGAATGAAAACAGGATTGACTATCCCCAGAGATAAAGGGGAGGAAGGCAGAGGTTGGAAGATAGAGGAAGATCTGAAACTGCTCATGGCAAGTGAGAGGGCCAGCAGCAGCCGTAGTGCCTGGCTGGGCTCATGGGCAATGACGTTTGCTTGTCCCAGGTGGGCAGTCATGGCCAGGGTTGTGCGCATGCACGTGTGTGTGTGTGTGTGTGTGTGTGTGTGTACCTGCACACAAGGAATTCTACATCACATTGAGGTTTTTTAATGTAATTCACAGTTTGTTGATGTTTTTGTACCAGAGATTGACCAACAGGTGCTTAACCACTGAGCCACAACCCCAGCCCTTTTTTATTTTTTATTTTGAAACAGGGTCTTTCTGAGTTGCTTAGGGCCTCACTAAGTTACTGAGGCTGGCTTAGAACTTGGGATCCTCCTGCCTCAGCCTCCCAAGCTCTGGGATTACAGGTGTGCGCCATCATGCCCAGCTACAAAACTGACTTTTTATCTCTTTTAACAGCCAGAAGTTTCTCATTAGTCCTGTAGAATGAAATAGTCTTATCACAGAATCCTATCTACTAGTTTTTCCAGTTTCCCAAAGTGAATGCTGACATGAACTTTTGGGGCCATATCTGAGTCTCCCTCAGCTGCCATTGTGCCCACTCAGGCCTGCACAATGGGGATGGTGAGACTGTGGAGAATAAAACTACAATCTAAAAAGGATTAGTAGTTGCCAGTTTTTACATGTGACGTGACAGGTTAAATCACATTTCCTTGTAGAAACTTAGTGAATGTCATTTTTTCATTGACTAATCATATCCAAGACTAAGAAAAACCACTCACAGAGCTCTCTTTGAAAGGCTGGACTGCAGCCTCCCTGCATGGCTGTGTCCCAACTGCCACGAGGACAGCCCACTGCTTCTGCTTCCCATGTGCTCCTGCACCACAGGCCTCGGATGGCTTTGAGTGACTCCACCTGGTGTTCAATTTCTTCTCCCCCTGGCACATCTCCAGGCCTCCTTTGTCTGTGGGATCTTCATCCCCCTTATACAGGGGATGTTCCATTTGAAGATAAAGGAGCACAACTCTGGAACCGCAGTCCTGAGTAGCAGTCTTAGTTGGGCCTTGTTCCAGCCAGGTAATTCGGACACGCCCTTGGCCCTGCATCCCAGCTCTCCATGCTGTTCAGTCAAGGAGAGAGACTGGTGACCAGGAAGTCACCCTTCCTAGCGTCAAGTTTACAGGTAGCCCCAGACCCAAAATGGCAGCGCTTTCTATTTCCAGAAACGCCTGTGAAAAATAAAATCAGCTCATTCTTAAGCAGCTACAATTTTTATTTTAAAAAGAAAATACATAAGCACAAATAGGTTTAAGTTTATAGGCAAGTGCCAGAATTTAGGGAGCAGATGGCTTAAAGCAAAAGGAAGACCAACTAAAAAGCAGGCGTTTAGTCTACCATGACATATACATGTTCCTCAAGTCTTCGTATTCTGCCCATTTGTGTGCTAAAGACTAATGGGGTGCCAGGCACAATGGCACACACCTGGAATGCCTACGGCTCAGGAGGCTAAGGAAGGGAGCATCTTGAGTTCAAAGCCAGCCTCAGCAACTTTGTGAAGCCCAAAGCAACTCAGCAAGACCCCGTCTCAAAATACAAAAAAGGTCTGGGGATGTGGCTCGGTGGTTGAGTGCCCCTGAGTTCAATACCTGGTACAAAAATAAGTAAATAAATAATAGACTAATGGAGCATATGGGAGAACTAGGGTTAAACCAGACCCTCAAAGCCATGGAGATTTGTAATTGGAGCATCAACAACACAAACAGTAATCATCCTATTAAAAATGAACATTGGGCTGAATCCCCAAGTGGTATTTATGTAGCTTCATCTCAACCTGCGTATCCCTCAGCTGACTGTGATGTGCCCCATGTGACCCTGCAGCTGGCCTGGAAGAAGGTGGCCCCAAAGTGAGGTGTAGGAATGTGATATATTAAATTTTTATATTGCTTTTACTAGTACACATATTAATATACTTATTTTATTTTCACTACTTTGTATTTGTTTTATATGGCAATATATGAGTACATACATTTACGGCATTTATACTAAAAATATTCACAGACTCATACTTGGGGTTGTGCTCTTGACTTTTTTTATTGACCGGGATATTATAGGGAGACCATTGTTAGGAGAAACAGCCTTGCTCCCTCCTGTATTCCTGAATGGGTGAGGAGTTCCCAGGTAGAATCCAGGGATTGCGGAGAATTTCATCATTCTGGAGTAAGTCTGGAGATAGCAGATGAGGCAGACATTGAAGATGAGTGAGGCTGGGATTTATTTTCCTGTTTTGGAAAATCAGGAAATTAAAGCAAAGTAGAGAGAAAATTGCTCAAACATTTTTATAACTCAGTATGTGACTTTATCATGAGGTCAGTTCTTTCTAGAGTTCTAAGATGTTTGAAAGGAGACTGAGAACAGGTGATTTTGGTCTCAAACTTTTCTGCAGGACCGCTATGGCCTCTAGTGGCAAGTGCTCCAGGAGGGGGCACTGAATGGACACCAGCATGTGAGCACAGGTGACTTAATTAAGAGCCACTGCAGCTTCTCTGTGCCCATGGTAGGCCCTCTGGCTGCTGCAAGGAGAAATGGCTGCTTCAGGCAGTTGGCAATTCTGTTTGATAAAAGGGTGGCAACTGGGGTATAGGAAGGCAAATTCAAGGAGACACCCTACATGTTCCTCTGGTTTTAAAATGTGGCTGTCCTCAAGAAGAGTCAGAACAGTAAATGGCATAATAAAACTGCTCATGTGATATTTTTCTTATTTCTATATCAAACATTTTCTTAATGCTATGTCTCAGGCATTGTTTGAAGTACTTTTAAAGACAGGAACTCAATAATCTTAAGGGTGGGTACTGTTTTTAGCCCATTTTGCAGATAAGGTGTCTGAAGCTCAGAGAGGTGGTGTCACTTGCCTGTGTTCACACAACTTCAGTGGTAGCAATGGGGCTCCCATGTGCACTCAAGCTCCTGCCTGTGCCTCCAGCCTGGTATCTGTGACCTCACTGAAATGGGATGTGGGGGTATGCTTTGCTCCACCTGCACTGAAGAATCAAAGCAGTTTTGTCCTTTTTTGGTTTTGTTTTTAATTGGTGCATTACAATTTTACACAACAGTGGGAATCATTGTTACAAATTCACACCGCATTTTTTTTTAATTGGAGCATTATAATTTTACATAATAGTGGGAATCGTTGTTACAAATTCACAGTCTATTTTGTCTTGTATAGGGACTCCCAACCCTTTCAGAACTATTATTTTAATTTAGTTTCAAAAGACACTTTTCTAAAAATATTATTTTATATGTATTACAAAAATGATTTTCTTTTATTGTCCTCCATTTGCTGAGCACTGTGAAGCTCTATAGACATGAATTCTAATCTTTAAATCTGCCAGGAAGATATCTGCATCCATTTCATTGACGAGAAAGTAGAAGCCCAGCAGGTTGTCCCTTGGCTGATGAAAGCCAATGCAGGAACCCAGGTCTGCAGCTGCTCCTCTTTGTTCTGAAACTATAAACGAGTCCATCTTGAGCGCCATGTAAGGGCATCGATTAGTTTCACCCGGTACCCTGAGATCCCTTTGGTGTGCCAGTGACTAGGGGCATGTGTCCTGGTTTGCTGGGGACACTGTGGATTTATGCTTGCTGTCACAGCACTACCGTTGGCTGTGACCCAGCTTGGACCATTAGTCATGTGGCCCCTGCTGCCCAGCTCAGGGCTGTACACCATGTGGTTTCCAGGCGACTGTGTACACAGCAGCAAGCCTCAGGGGCTGGTCCCTTTTGATCCAGTAAAGTTTTGAAGTTTTATCTTCTACTGGGCTTCATTAAGCCCTCAGTTGGTCTGAGGTTCCCCACTCGCCCCCCACTTGTAAATGCTGCGTGGATCTTGGTATTCAGGTTAACAAATTAGCCCAATTAGATGGGTAAATTAGTCCTACTAACTTTCTGAAGTCCCGCTGGAAGAGCTTTGGGAAATAGCATTTATAGTTTTCTAACAAGCAATTTAAGGACACCAGCATGTGGCATTTGTTTAAGAGTAAAGTGTCTTAAACAAAACCGTACTCAGAAACAGATTTCAGCATTTTCTCTCCGACGGACAGGGCAGGCTGCAACAGGGTGGTACCCTTATGTTATTTTGACACGAGCATTTCCAAGCTGGCTAATTTGTAGAGCCTTCATTCAAGTACAGCAGGGTCTGACCCACATTTAATTCTAAAGCCTCATTTTTGCCAAAATGTTGGTGGGGGAATTGTTTTTGTGCCCCCTGAGATTTCTAGCAGTCTTCAGAAACAGTCTCAATTCTACCTAAGTGTAGAGGGTGAATAACCAGCAACTTGCAGGAAGTTGAGAGTGATCCCCTCAGAGAAGGCTCAACAGTTTCTGGTGTTAGGGGTCAAGAAGCAACATGGGAAAAAGTGACATCCCTTAAAAGCTTGTTGAGAATTCATAAACATTTTAACCTCATGGGGGCTCAGTTTCTTTTGTGTATATAATAGTGACGGTAATCCCTACCTCATAGGGTTACTGGAAGATTAAATGAGATAATGCATATAATGTGCCTGAAACATAATAGGCACTCAATAAATTTAAGGTCCTTTCCTTCCTTCCTGAATCCTTTCAATTTTTAGCCTCGGATGTCGGCATCCCTTTTCCTGGCTCAACTGCTCTTCAAACAATCTTATTAATGCCTATTAAAATGAAACCCAATAAAAGTGCCAATATTTGGTGTTGAAATAATTGATGTAGCAGAGTGAGCCTGTGAAGCACCCAAGCAGGCCCCTGGTACAATTTAGCCTCACACCTGGGGGATGAATTTCACAACTGTAATTGCTACCATATAATTCTTATTAATGTTGTGCTATAATTCCTATTTATTCCACAGGGCTTGTAAATGCATTAGGACTTGTCAACATATTATTTTACACTGTTTATGATCTGTAGAATTATGTCCTTCAGGGTTGTATTGTGCAAAAGCACAAAATAAATTGTGTCAGGCCTCATTTAAAAAGAGCAAAAAGTGATGGCTTGTCAAGGTGGTTCTCCATCCCTGCTCTCCTGGATAGGAATGGTGAAAGTAGATTCTTATTCAATTCTTAGCAGAGCCTTTACCTTTTGGAGTATGAGTATCCTCTTCCTGTGTGAGCCATATGACTGTGTTGGGTCAACCCTGCCAGGAAGTGTGTGTAGCCGAAAGGTAGATAAGTGTGTAGGGAATCGTCCATCTTCCAGAAGCCAGACCTGCATACCCTTCTTACATCTTAACCTCAGAGCTCCTGACATTTCTGCCCACCTTGCTGTAACCCTCTTTCAGTGCCAAAAGTGCCTCTTCATCTTCCTGGCTCAAATCTATAAAGCAAAGTTCTGAAATTTATTTCCATTGAAGTGTAAGTACCTTAAAAGTACAAAATGCAACCCTCTCCCACAGCTGTTTGCATTTACTAGGCTACTAAATCATAAAACTAAAGGAACATCAGGCGCTATGTTGCAAGTGTGTTGAAAGGAATCTGCCATAGTTGGTTATTTCTGTTCTGGGCCCTCCCGGTGCCTTTGCAGCCACAGGTTGGCCTGCCATAGAATAAAGTTCTTGCTCAGCCTGTTCCTAGCTTTAACCTTTTATCCTCACAGGACTGTATCAGGGAATAACTCTGTCCCTCCGGGCCTGCAGTCACAGCTGCCTTGCTCTGCCAGTCTTCCTGGCCCAGGAAGCTGGGGCCAACCTGTGGTGAGGGACCGTTCCTGACAGCCCTTGCTCTTTTCTTTGCTCCTGCAGGCAGTGAGTACGACGAGGAGGAGGTGGACTATGAGGAATCTGACAGTGATGAGTCCTGGACCACAGAGAGTGCCATCAGCTCAGAAGCCATCCTCAGTTCCATGTGCATGAATGGAGGGGAAGAGAAGCCTTTTGCCTGCCCGGTTCCTGGATGTAAAAAGAGATACAAGGTAAAGGAGGTGCAGCTTCACCTGGCATAACAGCCTGGAAACACACAGCTGCCTTTTTAACCTGTGCGTTGCTGAGCAGATGGCCACAATACATGTGCACACAAGGGCTGCCCTCTGGTGAATGCTGGCAGGGGCTCAGGATGTTTGGTGGGGTATTTTTCCCCTTTCATTAACCTATCTGGAAATTAGAGGTCAAAGAGATCTTCTGTAAGATGATCATGCCTATAAGTCTCCAAATTCATATGTCATCTTGGGGCCTAACAGTATCAAATGCGGACGCTGAGGACAGCTCAGTGGTTGAGACTGACCCTGGGTTCCATCCCTAGCACAGAAAAGAAAAAAAAAAAAAATAGTGCATCCACCTATTCATTTGCCAAACACCTTCCCCAATAGATGGCTCTCTGGGTGGCTCACAGAAGGCCACTTTGAAGTCATAAAAGCCCCAGAAGGCTCACAGACCTTTCGGAAAAGGTGGCAGGGTATTCACTTCCAGCTGAGGCCATTCTTGCTGCCTTCCAAATGGCATGAAAGGGGATGGGGAGAAAAAAGTGCTTTTTTTTCCCTCACCAAACCACCCACTTCACCTTAAGCCTCCACCTTTCCACCTCTCTGCAGGTCTGACTCTTGGTGTCAGGGGCAGCCAGAGGTGCTAACTTTTCTATTAAGAAAACTCAGAGGGACAAAGCAGTATTCAAAAAAGAAACGTGTAGCATTCAAGTGTGAGTCCAGACAGCATTTAGCTAAACAAAACTGCAAACTTTCCTACAAGGTGTATTTTAAAATACAACCATGAAATAGAAATATAAAAATCAGAAACATACCTGGTGTACTTAATGACATGCTAATTTACCTATGGCTCAGCAGATTGATTAAAAAAAAAGACTTGAAAGACAGAAGCACTTCTTACATTAAATGTTTCTGAACACTTAAAAAATAAAATCCATTTCAGTACTTTTTATCCCAGCTACTGATAGAAAAGCATAAACACAAATGCATCGCATTCATAGGTTGTCTGAAATTTTGCCTGATCAGGTACTGTTAGAATTTTATCAAGCAAAGTCAAGATGCTCTTTGTTTAAACTAAAATGCAAACCCCAGGATGGAGATGTGAGAACCCTACCAGAGATTCCTTGAGAGATGCTGCCTTCAGGTCAGTATGTCTCAAAACATGTGTACATCTTCTACGCCAGGAGGCATGAATTGTATCCTGCCTACCCTGGATGCCCACTGTCTCCATGTCAGCTATTCTTCCTCACTTGCCATCTTCCTGCCGTTGCTCAAGTGCCTTCACGTTGTTGAAGCAATGTCTCATGTTAAAAGAGGGTGAAGTAATAAATTGTGCTGAAACTGACCCCCCCCCCAAAAAAAAGTACTTATAAACTCCCCCCTTTATTCTGTCCAACAGAGTGAGTCATTCTCTCCCATCTCTAGCTTCATTTTCCTTTTCTTGTTCACATGCTTTCCCCCAAGTCGTTTCTATTTTCTTTGTCATTAACTTTTGTTTTTATTCTTTTGGGTTTCTAGCAGCTTACTCCTTCAGTTGCCTGGGTTAGTGAGGACTAGAATGTTCTATTTTCAAAACCAAAAGAAAATTTAGTGAACCTCAGCCTGCAAAGGCTGCCATTAACTGTCAGATGACATGGGTGGCAATTAGTTGTCCTGATTCCCTGAGGGAAGTGTTTCTTTTTCTGAGTCAGAATGCAGGGTAAGAATACTCAGGTGGAGAACTAACACGTAACTAGTACTCCTAACCATATGCTTAAGATAAACATTGTTGTAATCCCTAAAAACTTCAGTTCGGCTCTGGGAGTTATTGGCTGTGGGACAGTGCTGTTCTCGAATCAGGTATTAATTATTTCATCTTGTGTGTTGCATGACTGTTGGTTTTGGTATTGTTGAGGGGTGGGTGGTAGTGAGCTAATGTATGATGAAGTCAGGCAGAATGCAGAAGTGCTGCCTTTTTTTTTTTAATTCCTGAGGCAAGTCACACTTTTTAAATTCTTTGTCCCTTGCTGGCCCAGAGTCTCTGACTAGTTCAGTCTCTTAGATACTGACTCAGGACCAGCTCTTCTCATGTCATTGGCATTTACACAGTTGAGAGACAATGCGTATCTAACTTCCCAAATCTCAGAGTGGGAAGTGGGAGAGGGAGCCTGCAAAAGGGCCAAGTCTCTGCATTTTCCCCCAGGTTATTTCCTATGCCTAGTTTATTTTGTAGTAGAAGAAAAATACCCTTTTTCCTCAACCCTAAGTTCTTAGTTGTAACAGATCGCTGTAACAAAAGGCAGGCTAGCGAGAAAAGCAAAAGGGAGTATATTCACGGGAAATACCCAGGGGGGTTGAGTGAGTACTTTTTAAAAAGATAGCTTTGAGTTCTAGCTCAGATAGTTATCTTCAACAAAAAAGAGTGAAGTTTTAGAGAAGAGACAAGTCTTTGTGGAAACTTATTGGCCATTTCTTTGCCTTTCCATAAGAGCTAGTTAATAAAACTTGTTAGGATAGATGCCGCAGGTGCTATCTCCAGGCCTAGAAGTCCAGGCTTTGTCTACAGTGGTTGACATTTGTTCCCCTTGGAAGAGAGGGAAGGTAGAATATTTTTTTGTTTTTGTTTTTGTTAACTCCTTCAGCCCAATAGTCCTTACTGGATGAGGCATGTTTGGGGTGACACTTTGTGGTCTCCCACAGCTTCCTTTCTATTAGTACCTCATAGTACCTCATTTTAATTCTGCCCCTCAAGAAAATGGGAACAGCAGAGAAATGCTATCTGCTCTGGATTTTGCCCATCTCCCAGACTCCCACCTGAAGACTGGGTGCTCATCCTCCGCCCGCCTTGCCAAGTGCTCTGGTGCTGCTGGCTGTCAAATTACAGCTCTCAGTCCTCTCAGCACCAGCATGGGTCTTGGCTGTGACAGATCATCTGAGGACCAAAGAATAAAGGTATAGTGTTTGGGGAAGAGACAAACAGGGGACCCTTGCTGACCACTGGAAGCCCAAAGTGGTAGCGCGACTCATTCTTACAAATATGTCCCAGATGTTTCAAGATGGCGGTGCTGACCCCACTTTGGTGCTGTTCCCATTTCTCTGCTGACTTTGGACCAGAGAGTGCAGACACCCCACCTCTCCTTTGGAAAATGTATAAAAAATGTGTGGAAGTGCTTTGAGGAATTTTCCTCTTGATAATTTTTATGTCCTAGTGATGAGGATTAAATAGGTTTTCTAACTTTCTTTTAAGAAATATAAAGCAGAACAAGTCCCCCCACCTATTTCTGTGCTGCACCTAAAATATAGTAGGGCAACTCTGTAGCTTGGGGTTTTTCCACAAGAGGGCATGTTAGTCTTTACTTCCCTGCCTGGATGGAACCAAGTCCCCTAAAGAGCCCATCAGAAGCCCTGCTGGGAATGTAACTGGATAGCAATTTGGCAGCAAATAATAACTGGAGCTTTAAAAAAGTTTTATACCTTTAGCTCCCTAAATCTTTTAGAAATTGATTCTGGGCCGGGGTGTAACTCAGTGGTACAATTATTGCCTAAAACATGCCAGGGCCTGGCTCAATCCCCAGCACCATAAAATTTAAACAATTACTTTAAGAATGCTATCAACAAAGATTGATATACAAGAGAGAGTTTATCACTTAAAGTCAGCACAAATTTGGGAAGTACTAATCTTCTAACGGAATTCCGCCATCCCCAGCACCACTAACAAAAGAACTAACGAAAATACTCTGCCAATAAAAAATCTGTTTTCAAGAAATATTTAGTGATTAGGGAATGCTTACAAAATAACATTGTGGTAAAATGAGGTGCTACATTTGTTATATTGATATGTATAAACAGATATACAAGTACACTGAAAAAATACTGAAATTTTTCTTTTTCATGCTTTCCTATTATTTTCTAAACTTTTACTTCATATTAGTCCTAATCATCAGGAGAAGACAGACATGATCTTTTCTAGAAACCCTGCCTCACTCACCTGCACATCTATTGCCACCCTGCTTTGCCACCACTCTCTCTGCAGCTGATGTTTTGTCACATCCCTTTCTCCCCCAATCCCTAACTTCATCTTCTCCTTTATGTAGAACATCAAGACCCTTGAGAACTGAAAGTTATGACTTTCATATTTAGGGCACTTGTCAAAATTGTGCATAAGCGTGAGTACTAACAACAAATTTCAAACACAGTGGAAGACAGGATAGCTCAGCTTAGTGTCTTGACTTTAGGTTTCATGATTTAAAGTGGAATTTTTGGAATAGCCTCTAAACTGCTTGTTATCCATAGTAAGGACAGGTAGGTCCTGATGGCAGAAAATCCACCCAAGTCCTCAATTATCCTCCTGTCCTACCCTTTTCCTTCACACTTGTGAACTTGCTAAATCACAGTAACAAAGGAATGGTTATGGTAGATTCTTTGGCCAACCCTGGAAATAGCAAGTTCCCAAATGTCCAATTGATTGGCTTCCTGATTCTTCCGGTGATAATGGCAACATATAGGATTGCTGTCTTCCTGTCACACAGCCAGACCACAGCAGAGTTTACACTCAAGCTGGTTAGAAGCCAAAGAGCCTGCTGTCCTTGTCTGACTCCTGTACAACTCTGGATCTGTTTTCCCTGTGGACTAGCTTTAGCAATTTCTGGTTTCAAACCTCCCCAAACCTAATTAATCATGAAACACAGACCTGGATGGAGTTGTCTAGGCCCTGCTGCTTCAGTATGCCTTTTTGCTTCATGGTTAATGCTCTTTAGTTTCCTTTGACAAGCTGTGAAAAACAGCAGGCACAAGGTTAGCTAGATTACTAATGATCTATCTTACAAAAAGAAGGAAATGAAATGTTTAG